TTTTTTGCAATCACACGAGGCTTTAATTGATGAGATGAGACGGGAACCAGTGCACTGGGGCCGAGACTCATAACCCATGCAGGGGAAGAGTTTGACCTTTTAAAATTATTTTTTCCTTTTTTGCAATATTTTCTTTTTTGGAGAGAGGGTGTCTTTGGGTAGTCCTGGCCGTCTTGCAATTCATAACATAGATCAGGCTGGCCTTGAACTCACAGAGATCCGTCTGCCTCTACCTCCCGAGTGCTGCGATCAAAAGGGTGCAGTATTTTCTTCCAAGAGGAAAAACCAACCCATATTCTATTTCTATGCTGAGTACACAAAACTTCACTACTTGTGCAGTAGTAGTGATGAACCAAATGAAAAATATGGAAACAACTTAAAATCTAAAAATAAACAAAACTGGAGTGGTGGGGGATTGCTCAGTTCTTAGTGCTTACCACAGGAGCATGATAGCATGATGCCCGTGATCAATCCCCCCTCCATTTTAAAAGCCTTGTAATTCCAGCGTGTGATATAATGGGAAAGGCATGGTTTGGAGACCCTGTTTCAAAAATCAAAGTGGATCTGGGCTTGAGAGCTCGCTCAGTGGTTAAGAGCACTTGTTCTTGTGAAGGACCTGGTTTGATTCCCAGCACCCACATGGGGGCTTACCACTTCCTCAGGCACCAGGCATGCATCTGGTGCACAGACATATACGTAAGTAGACATCATATGAATAATGTTGACTGAGGTTTCTGTCTGCTCAGTTCCCCAGCTGTTTAGTCCCAGAGAAAATCACATAGATGTCTCCATAAGTTATAAACTGATTAGCACATTTAGCTCAGGCTTATTATTATCTCTTGTAACATATATTAACCCATTATTCTTACCTATGTTAGCCACATGGCTCAGTACCTTTTTCAGCGGGGCAGGTCACATCCTGCTTCTTTGGTGTCTGGACTGACAGTCCCCGCTCCTGTTTGCCATCATTTCCCTCTAGGACACTGAAAATTCACCATGGTGTCAGGAGGGTAGGCTGAGTGCCGAGGCTTCTGGGCCACAGGCTGGCCTATGTTGTTCTGACCTTCCCAAAGGTAGGGTCTAGCTATGAGGGATCTCCAGGGCCTCCTTCTGCCTAGTGCCCAAACAGCAAGTCTGGGTACAGTATACAGCCACATATCAGTCGGGAGAACCACTGGGGTGGGTCATCATCATGTGCTGAGTTGTGACTTGTTCAGGTTGTTGTATGTTACATGCGTGTGCATGTTTGTACATGAATATATGTGTGTGATCTATAAAAAGAATATAGAATTTTGTACATAGATAACATATTGGCATAAAATGCTTGATAATGCCATATGTAAACATCTCCTGAAAGTCATGTATGGTGGCATAGAAAACCCTGTAATACCAACTTGTCAGAAGGCTGAGGCACAAGAATTGCAGGTTCAAAGTCAGCTTGGCATGGTTGTGAGATTCTGTCTCATGATAAAAGTAAAAGCAGGGGTGGAGCCCTTGCTTAGCATGTGTGGGTCAGGCCCCATTACTGAAACAAAAAATGAAATAAAAATTTTTCCAGGTGAAGATGACAGCATCTGTACTGAACGCCACCGTTGTACAAAATGCCTTTGACCTCTTTTACCTGTCATCCGGTGTAACAAATGGTTAGCAGCGAAGGTGCCCAGGGCTGTGTTGTTGTCTGTATACAATGGCCAGAACAGAGACTAGAGACAGAGCAGAGCAGAGGCTTGTGCTTTGGAGAGAATTGTTAAGACGAAGCCTGCAGCCAGGAGAGTTCTGAAAATTCCTCTGATTGGCTGTGGATTTTGTCCTTGCTGTTTGTTTGTTTTTGTTTTTCTAGATGGGGTTTCTCTGTGTAGCCCTGGCTGTCTCGGAACTCACTCTGTAGACCAGGCTGGCCTCGGATTTGGGAGATCCGCCTACCTCTGCCTATCAAGTGCTGGGATTAAGGACTTGTGCCACCACTGCTCAGCTGTGATGGGGTTTTGTAAGAGAACGTTTTAAACAATAGTTAGTAGAAATTAGACAGAATAATATAATCGAGTCTCTATGTTTCCCAGTTCAGTGGCTCTAGCTTACAGATCCACCCACTGCTTTACTCCTGGATGACTGTGAAGCCAATCCCAGCTCTGTGGTTCCTCACCTGTATTTCAGGATTATAAGAGGTTTTTCTTAAAAAACTTTTTATCTGGGAAATAAAGATTAAAGTTTTAATTTTTTATTGATAATATTTTTATTAAGCTAAATACTATGCATATATATCTCATATACATACACACATATATCTCATATATACATGAACCCATATATACAAATATAACTTAATGTATGTAAGAATATGCATTTCATTACTCATATTTTTCTGATCTACTTGAGAATAAGTTGTATAGCCATAACCCTGTTCTTAAATGCTTTGTATGTCTCCTAATGTCAGCCACCCCTGACATAAGCAGTGATATTAGAAGCCCAGCATCCATTTGATGCTTTTATTTGCCCGTTTGTGTTTTGTAACAGTTTCCCCTCCAGAGTAACATGTGTCTTGCATATCCTTTAATCTTGGTCAGTTCTTCAACCGTTTTCTGTATTTTTTTTACTTGCCTTCCCATTAAAAGTTTTTAAAACTACAATTATTTATTGTGATGTGTGTGTGTGTTGTGCACACATGTGATTGTACCGAAGCGTGTGGGATGTGTGTGTGTGTTGTGCACACATGTGATTGTACCGAAGCGTGTGGGATGTGTGGAAGTCAAAGGACAACTTGCTGGGGTTAGTTCTTTCCTTCCACCATGAGTGGCCATCAGGTCTGGTGACAAGTGCTTCTGCCTTCTCAGCCAGCCTGGTCTCCGCATTTGTGATGATCATTTCCTCATGGCTCAGTTCAAAGCCACAGACTCGACACTGTGTCCTGAAGGCACATGATGGATATGCCCTATTATTAGAGATCTTGAGATCAGTTTTTAGTAGCGGTGGGTAAGACATAATGTACTTTCCATGCGCATTCATTTAGTAGTTGACATGGTTGTGATCTGATCTCCCAGTTTGCCTCTTTCGTGTCTGGGGGGATCTGTGATGAACAGGAACACTTTTGGGGTAAGCCAACTCTAGTTTTCAGGTACTCTGTGAATACTGGGCTGTAGGGACAAGCCAGCTGAGTCACAGAGGAGGAAGTGCCCAGCTGTCAGCAGAGCATATGACTGTGAGGTACAGATAGCGGGACTCTCAGGTGGTCTGAGCACCTGGGTGGTCTCAGAGATTCCAGTGGATGTGTGTGTCCTCCCCCGCCCTACACTCTCTGAGACATGCTTTGATGTTGAAAGCTGACCTTGCCTGTTTTATCTGCCTGTTCACAGTGCCCTCTTCCTCGTGGCTGCTGCAGGGTGCCTTCCCTTCCAGGACGCACAGGTAAGTCCAGTGAACTCACGGCACTGTCAAAGCCTTTGTAGCTCACATCGGATGTGCACTGTTCTCTGCCTTTCTTTCAGAACCACAATAGCCTGGGCCCTGCAAAGACGGTCAGAAGCTACCAGGCTGGCCACCTTCTCCAGGCCTTCAACAGTGGCTGTAGGCAGCATGCCATCTGACCAGCCTCGGGAACCTGTGATCCCTCACCCGAGTCACCCCAGCTTTGGGATATCAATCAAAGTTGTTTTTCTTCCTTCCTCTGCAGAGTAGTTTTCACTGGCATCCTGGGCCCAGGCTGTTTATCTTAGGAGGCCCTTAGAGACGCATTTCAGCCCTAGTGATCATCTCATTGCTAGATTTTTCTTTCTTACCTTCCCCCCCCCCCCTTTCTTCCCTGGCATTATCAAGACTCTACCAATGGTCAGACACTGAGCTGGGCTCCAAGGATACGTACATTAGTGTGTTTCAGCAGACACTGGAGGCTGTTTAGAGCAAAGGAGAGGGAAACAGGCCACGGCAACAGATCATCACGACATTGGGGAGACATTAAGGCTGGGAAGAACCTAAGAGGCTCAGGGGCCCTAGCAGTAACAAACATTTATGGGGACTTGCCTTATGGTGGGCTCTGTGGCAATGATTTATATACTTTGTCTTATTTTGGAGTTCACAGCATGGGCTCAGGAGATGGCTCATTGGGTAAATACTTGAGGGCCAGAGTTTGGATTTCCAGTGCCCAAGTTAAAAATGAAAAATGAAGCTGCGTGTGGGGGCATAAGCCCAGTGCAGAATCCCAGGGGCTTTTAGCCAGTCAGTGAGCTTCAGGTTTAGTGCGAGACCCTGTTTCAAAAATAAAAAATGCACCTGTTGTCTGTCTCTGGCCTCCACCTGTGCACCTATAAGCTTGTATATCTGCACACATATACATGTGCGCACATATACATGTACACACACACACACACACAATCTTGACAATTTTGAAAAGGTAGGGACTTTTTAATCTCTATTTTCTAATCAAAGAGTGTGCTCCAAATAAGCTAGTAAATGTGTATTTTAGAATTTTATCCAGAGCTTTGTGACATTGGAGCAAGCCTCTTCTTACCAGGTTTAAATATGGAAGAATGAGGGGTGAAAGCAGGGCAGCTCGGGGCGGGGCATGGCTATTCTGGGATTTACTTTACGTCAGACTATTGGTGTGTGTGCTCTGTTCTAATCCCTACCTCCTGCAGAGCGAGAGATAGAAGCAGAACAAGGAAACTGTGGAGTGTTTGATGATGTCAAGTCTTACAGAAAAAAACAGAAAAGGAAGAGTCAGTGTTGAAGTGGGGTAGTGAGAAACTGCTCCCCTACCATGTGGAATGTCTGGGTTCTATTCCCCAGCATTGCCAAAGTAAATTCATACAGAGAAAGGAAGGAGTTCCCTTGGCTGTGTTGAACGGGAAACAGTCACGCTTGGGAAAATGCAGGGTGTCTTTGTTTTTTGGGTTGGGAGACTGTAGATGTGACTGAAGATATGTTTGCCATGTCACTGGAGTTTTTGAGAGCTCCTTCATGGTCTCCAGATGATACTTGGGAAATCAGGGTTTCCTTTTGAGGTTCTTAGTCTTACTAATAAAAAAGAAGAGTGAACTCAAACAGAAACTGGAGGACAATTTCATTAGAGTTTAAAATAGCACCATCCCAAATGAGCAAGCTCTAAATCTCAGCGCCTGCAGAGAACCCTGGAGAGAAGTGGGGTGGGGGTGGGGGTGGGAGGTGAGAGGGACCTGGCTGGTGTGGAGGTCAGCCACAGGGTGGCAGGCAGCCACCATGGTTGAGGAGGAGTGGAGCACTGAAGAAAGAATCAGAAAACCCAAGTGTCAGAAAAAGCATATGTAGGTTCTGGCCAGTATCTGGCGAAAGAGAAAAAAGGACAAAATTACATCTGTCTTAGTTAGGGTTTCTATTGTTGTGAAGAGAACCATGACCACGGCAACTCTTATAAAGGAAAACATTGAACTGGGGTGGCTTACAGTTCAGAGGTTCAGTCCATTATCATCATGGTGGGACATGGCGGAGTGCAGGCAGACATGGTGCAGGCAACAGCAAATGATCTCTGACATTAGGAGTAGTTTGGGCATGGGAGAACTCAAGGCCCACCCCCAGAGTGACACACTTCCTCCTACAAGGTCACACAACTGCAACCAAGCCACACTTCCTATTAATGCCACTCCCAGTGAGTTTATAGGGCCAATTACATTCAAACTAGCACAGCATCTTTCTGAGTTAGAAAGGTGGAAGACAGCTGAACCCCATTGCAGCCACTAGGGACTGTGCTGGGAAGTAAAGAATAAGTCTTTAAAAGAATCATTATTCCATTTGTCAGTTTAGCATGTTTTAAGGTGAGCCAGCTTTCCTAGAGTGGTCCTGCATTTCTCTGGGTAGTTCCCTGCCAGGTCGTGGACCCACCCAACCAGATTACCTCTTAAGGGAAGAGACAATGGCTTGTCTCCATCTAGAGGGATTTCATTTTTTACCAGGACAGTCGTACAGGTGTTTGGACGTCACGGATTTACATTCTAACACATTGGTGGGGGACAGAGGGGACGGGGAGAACCCAGGAAGATGTTTGGGGAGATGAGCTGATTCTAGGTCCGGAAAAGAGGCTCCGGAGCCTTAGGCTCGCTCTTCACTTGGCTCCTGCCTGCTGTACAAAATTCTGTTTGTCTATAACATAGCTTTTCCTTTTCTTTTTAATTCTGTGGTACAGTTTGATGCAGATGGATATTCTTGGGCTGTCGTTCACTTATTTTGTGTAGGTAAGTTTTCAAAAGTGTTTATTTAAGTGGTTGAGGACTGTTATTAAGCTCTTACTGTGTAGCCACTTTTTAAGTGACCCTACACAATAGGGAAATTATTTAAGATATTAAGGTTAAAGTTAAATGGAAATTTTCTAGATTTTTCTTTTTCTACCTTGGACTTCTCAGGTATTTCTGTTTCCAACATAATTTCTCTTTTGTGTCAAACTCTCCTTGGTTTGGGTTTTACTTGTAATGTTAGTTGTTCTTCCGTAAAAATGGCAGACTTAGTGTATACGAGGGGACTCAGTAAAGAAACTACTGATGTGACCGCCCTATTAGGGACAAGCTTTTTATTGTGGGTAAAAGAGAAACTATTCAGAGGCATCTGGAAGGGGCCACAGCAGAGAGAAGGAAAGCAGCAGGTTGGACGTGGCCAGGACTAGGGAATCGGGGGAGCAGAGAGAAGGGTAGAGCTATGGAGAGAAAGAACATAGCAGAGAGAGAGAGAGCAAGAGGGAGAGAGAGAGAGAGGGAGAGAGAGAGAGAGAGGGAGGGAG